ATCTCACTAGATGCTGAGAAAGCATTTGACAAAATTCAACATCCCTTCTTGATAAAAGTCTTGGAAAGATCAGGAATTCAAGGCCCCTACCTAAACATAGTAAAAGCAATTTACAGCAAACCAGTAGCCAACATCAAGCTAAATGGAGAGAAACTTGAAGCAATCCCACTAAGATCAGGGACTAGACAAGGCTGCCCACTCTCCCCCTACCTATTCAATATAGTACTGGAAGTCTTAGCCAGAGCAATTAGACAACAAAAAGAAGTCAAAGGGATACAAATAGGAAAGGAAGAAGTCAAAATATCGCTATTTGCAGATGATATGATAGTATACTTAAGTGACCCCCAAACTTCCACCAGAGAACTCCTAAACCTGATAAACAACTTCAGCAAAGTGGCTGGTTATAAAATCAACTCAAACAAATCAGTAGCCTTCCTCTACATGAAAGATAAACAGACTGAAAAAGAAATTAGGGAAATGACACCCTTCACAATAGTTGCAAATAATATAAAATACCTTGGTGTGAATCTAACCAAGCAAGTGAAAGACCTGTATGACAAGAACTTCAAGTCTCTGAAGAAAGAAATTGAAGAAGATCTCAGAAGATGGAAAGATCTCCCATGCTCATGGATTGGCAGGATTAATATAATAAAAATGGCCATCTTGCCAAAAGCAATCTACAGATTCAATGCAATCCCCATTAAAATCCCAACTCAATTCTTCACAGAATTAGAAAAGGAAATTCTCAAATTCGTATGGAATAACAAAAAACCCAGGATAGCGAAAACTATTCTCAACAATAAAAGAACTTCGGGAGGAATCACCATCCTTGACCTCAAGCTGTACTACAGAGCAATAGTGATAAAAACTACCTGGTATTGGTACAGAGACAGACAGGAAGATCAATGGAATAGAATTGAAGACCCAGAAATGAACCCACACTCCTATGGTCACTTGATCTTTGACAAAGGAGCTAAAACTGTCCAGTGGAAAAAGGACAGCATTTTCAACAAATGGTGCTGGTTCAACTGGAGGACAACATGTAGAAGAATGAAAATTGATCCATTCTTATCCCCTTGTACAAAGCTCAAATCTAAGTGGATAAAGGACCTCCACATAAAACCAGATACACTGAAACTAATAGAAGAGAAGATGGGGAAAAGCCTCGAATACTTGGGCACAGGGGAAAAGTTCCTGAACAGAACTCCAATGGCATATGCTCTAAGATCGAGAATTGACAAATGGGACTTCATAAAATTGCAAAGTTTCTGTAAGGCAAAGGACACTGTCAATAGGACAAAACGACAACCAACAAATTGGGAAAAGATCTTTACCAATCCTTCATCTGATAGAGGGCTAATATCCAATATATACAAAGAACTCAAGAAATTAGACTCCAGACAACCAAATTACCCTATTAAAAAATGGGGTATAGAGCTTAACAAAGAATTTTCAACAGAAGAAACTCGAATGGCCGAGAAGCACCTAAAGAAATGCTCGGCATCCTTAGTCGTCAGGGAAATGCAAATCAAAACAACCCTGAGATTCCATCTCACACCAGTCAGAATGGCTAAGATTAAAAACTCAGGTGATAGTAGATGCTGGCGAGGGTGTGGAGAAAGAGGAACACTCCTCCATTGTTGGTGGGACTGCAAGATGGTGCAACCACTTTGGAAATCAGTCTGGCGGTTCCTCAGAAAATTGGACATAGCATTACCCGAGGATCCAGCTATACCACTCCTAGGCATATACCCAGAAGATGCTCGAACATATAATAAGGACATATGCTCAACTATGTTCATAGCAGCCTTATTTATAATAGCCAGGAGCTGGAAAGAACCCAGATGTCCTTCAACTGAGGAATGGATTCAAAAAATGTGGTATATTTACACAATGGAGTATTACTCAGCTATTAAAAACAATGAATTTGAGAGGTTCCTAGGTAAATGGATGGAACTAGAAATTATCATCCTGAGTGAGGTAAGCCAATCACAAAAGAACACACATGGTATTCACTCACTGATTATTGGATATTAGCCCAGAACCTTGAAATGCCCAAGATGCAACTCACAGGCCACATGAAGTCCATAAAGAATGAAGACCAAGTGGGGGTGATTCGGTCCTTCTTAGAAGGAGCAACAAAATACTCAAGGGAGCAAATATGGAGACAAAGCGAGGGACAAAAACTGAAGGAGGGGCCGTCTGAAGACCTTTCCACCTGAGTATCCATCCCATGTGCAGTCACCAAAGGTAGATGCTGATGTGGAAGTCAGGAAGTGCATGCTGATAAGAGCCTGATATGGATGTCTCCTCAGAGGTCTTCAAGAGTCTGACATATTCAAAGGCAGATGCTCACAACTAGCCATTGAAGTGATCATGGGGTTCTCAATGGAGGAGTTAGAGTGAAGACTGAAGGAGCTGAAAGGATTTGTGGCCCCATGAGGAGAGCAACAATACCAACCAACCACAGCTCCCAGGGTCTAAACCACCAGCCTGGGAGCACTTATGGAGGGATCCAGGGCTTTAGCTGAATATAGAAGAGTGGAGGGCCCTGCTGGGCACAGGTGGAAGATGAGATCCTTGACCTCATGAAGGCTGGACGCCCCAGGGGGTGGGAGTTTTGAGGGTGGGGAGGTGGGAGTGGGGGGGTAGATAGAGGTTACATCCACAAAGAAGAAGGAGGAGGGGTGAGGGGATTGGGGGTTCCTGGGTGGGTGGGGGATGGGGTAAGGGGACAACATATGAAATGTAAATAAAACATCCAATAAAAAAAAATAATGAAAACAAACAAAAGACAACAACATGTTTTATTGCTTCTAGAAAATTCTCTTTATCTCTCCATCTGTGCATAAAACTCCTGGTCATCCTTTACATTCCTATCCCAAGGATTCAGAGTGTTCTATCTAAGGTCATGGGCCTCTGGAACTGACAATGGGAACTTTTGTCCCCAGCTCTTCAGTTGCAGTGTTCTATCCTATTCCTTTAATTTTCTGAGCTAAAAGAGATCTCCAAAGCACTAAGCTTCACTTCCTCCTTGTCTACCAACAAGTCCTGGACATAATCATGGGCAGGCAGAATCTGAGACCCAGTGATCTATCATTTGATATGGTCCCTTCAAATGATGCTGTTACAACAGCACAGGACATTTAATTTGAGGACAACGAAAAAAAAAATGATTCCTTGAAAATGAACTGCCATCAGCCAAAGGGCTGTTCAAGAGAAAACTGTCATTTTCAAACAATTTTGGTTTCTGCCAAGTTATCTCAGTGAAGAGTCTCCCTGGATTACAACAAGCAAGCACATGTTTTGTTTATTTGTTTGTTTGTTTGTTTGTTTTTGTTTTTGTTTTTTTCTCCCACAGGGAATAATGATAAAGGCGCTGCCTCCTCCCAAGATTGATCATGCTGGGTTTCAGACTTTAGTAGGAATATGAAGAGTATTTGACTGCTGTGGTGCGGGGTGGCTCAGTTTGACTTGTTGGATCCTGGGGGTATGCTGGACCACTAACCCTACAGTAATGTCTCCCTGCCCCTCCAAGCTCCTTTTGTGCTTTTGTATCCCTCTTACACCTTGTAGGCTTTAATACTATCTACCACCCCCGTCTGGTTGGGCATGAGGTCCCTACTCTTGCCTTGATCTCTCAAGCCCTAAAGCTCACCCTTGCACACCTCCCATCACATCTGTCATTTATAGTCATCGCGTCCCGCCCCCTCTTCCAACACCACCCTCAGAGCCTCCCCCTCCCGCCCCTAGTCTTTATCCTCCACGGACTTGTCGCTCTAGGCCCAGAAGTCGACACTCCTGAGCTTGCTGGCAGCAGAGTCTCCTCTCTCTCTCTCTCTCTCTCTCTCTCTCTCTCTCTCTCTCTCTCTC